GAGCCCCGAAGGGGGGCGTCTTCTGGCCGGCAGGACGGACAGGGCAGTGCCTCTCGGCCCCTCGCCCCCCACACGGCGCGCCAGGAGCACGGTGCGGACCCGGTCGCTCAAAGCCAACACGCCACGCCGCAGGCGCCGCTCCCGGGGGTGGACACGGACGGGAGGGGGAGGGCCTGCAGTCAGCGCCTGCCGGGCGGGGGCGGGCCGGGGCCGCGGCAGTCGGTGCCGGGGGTGGACACGGAGCGACGGCAGGGCGTCACCATGGCCGGGCAGGCGCTCGAGTGTGTGTAGGTGTGTGTGTGTGTGTGCTACAGTGCGGCCCCGAGGATGACGGCGTAGCGCAGCACGGCCGCGCCCCCGAGCCCTGACACCTGGGCGACGACGACGACGACGAAGCCGCCGCCGCGGTCGCTTCTGCAGCAGCCGCGCCCTCCTTGGCCGACCGACCGGACCATGCCGACGACGCTGGGTGGCGGGCCGGCGCCGGGCCGGGCGGCAGGTCCGGGGCACTCGTAGATGGGGGCGCTCGCGCCGCCCTGCCGGCCCTGCCGGCCCTGCCCCAACCACGCACAAGCTGGCCTCCGGCCTGGACGCCCTCGACGCCGCCGGCCTCTGCTGAAGCGACCTGGCCGCCGACGACCTAGCTGACGGCCTCGCGGGCGGCCTCCACGGCGGACGAGCGGTACCGAGGGCGCTCGCCCGGGCCAGGCTGACGATGCGTCTGGACGACGTCGCCCACGACGCCCGCCGAGCCTGCGCCTGCCTTCGGTAAGGGCGTGAAGGACTGGTCGGAGAGCTCCAGGGTAGAGGCGTAGGTTGGAAAGAGTAATTATTGCTGGGCGACGGTGGTGTGGACAGCGCTGTTTTTGCGAAAGGAGGATGAGGAATTGTAAAACACAATTTTGAAACGTTCGAAACGCGCAGTCGTGGGCCCCAATTAAAGTTGACGTAAGGGAAGGAGAATAGATTCCACCCACATGGTGTTGAATCGCCGTAAGTTTTAAACTTCTTTTGTCAAAATGTGTTTTTTTTATC